TAGGATCTGAAGGAATGTGAATTCTGGTGTGGTAGACTGCTAAGTGGGTCTCAGTAAGCAGGGAGCCCTTCCTGGACTTAAGGGGGGCCACAAATGTTGTCGTGCCCCACATTTTCAGAAGCCAATGGCTGAAACCACAACTGGCTACAGTCACCACAGGAGAAGGCAGATGACACTACCAGCAGGATTCAATGGGTTCTGAACCAGACAGGAGAGGCTAGCACTTGAAAAGATAGAGAGAAACATGATCAAAGTACCTCCCCAAGCCCAGGGAATCCCTGCAAGCTGCTTAAAACCAAGGCATGAAATACAGAGGAACCCACAGAGAGGAAACCCAGCCTTGTTGGCCACCCACAGCACAACTCCTTTCTACCAGTGCCCCTGAAGGAGTGCCCTATAACCAGAGAAACTTTTCTGGAATGGTGCTCTGCACACCTAGGGTCCTCCCCATCTGTGTAGTGAAGATCTGTCCTTATTTTATCCTTTCTCTTTTGAATCACCTCTAGATTTTTCAGTGAGAAAACTGTCTTCACATTATGAAAAATGTTTTAGGAACCCTTGTCTTCTTATAAATCTCCTTGTTAGGGTTACTCAATCCCGATCTGTTCAAACTTTTCTTTGATGGCCAAGTCTTTCACTGGAACATGTTCTCTGTCACTTACAAGCTACTTCACCTGGACAATGCCAGAACTGTTTACTTTTTCTTAGCTATGATCACCTTGACAAGGAGTGTGGAGCCCTAAGCCCTGACCCCAGACCTCCAGGTGAGGAAAGCTGCTAACCAGGTTCAGAGTGTGGCCTTCCCCACAGCCTCCTGGGTACAAACTTGATGTGGGCTCTGCAGTCATGTTACTGGAGCCCTCTGGTGACAGACATCCTCCTGAGCATCACCCTGCCCCTAGTCTTGCCGATGTCAGATTTGATGTGTAGCAGTCAGACAGATCCCATGCTGCCTCTGCCACTGTCCTGGGGTACCCAGGGTCCCTGAGACTCCTTTATCTCAGATGTCTCTTGGGTTAATCTTCTGGGAAATGTCACAGGACCATAACTCCTCTATTTGCTTCAATCTCAGGGGAGACATTGTTCCTCAAGAGCGCTTTGTAAGCACTATCCACAGCTTTCCCTCATAATAAAATGGTCCATCAGTGGGAAATTATTTTTTGTTTTTGGATTGACCTTAGGGGAAGAAAGAGGGCCCAGGAGTGTGTGTGGGTCTGTGCAGGCACGCGAGTGTTCACAAAAGGATTTGGACCTTTGGTAGCTTTGCTGGGTAGGCAGTAGTGCTTTCCGTGCATGAGGGTGCACCAGGAGAAGTGTGGTTTATCTTCAAGCCTGCCCATAAGCCTTCGACCTCCAAAAGAGATGTGGCACTCATGCACTCAGCAGGGCCGCTGTGATTACTCCATTTAGCAAAGGAAATGCTGTTTCTCCACCCTGGCATCGGTCCAGGTGTCTCTTCTCTGTGAGCTCATGGCAAGGTCCTGGTGATAGCTGCACTTTCCTCTGAACCTCACTCAACTCTCTTAGCCTTTCCTTCTTCCACCTGCCTTGTCTACCCTGCTCCAAACACACCTACCAGTCAAGACATTTCATGTCCCTGGGAGTCCTGAGTCAATCCCAGCAAGGGCCCTTGGGTGCCTTCTTCAACTTTTTTTCCCCAAGACTTGGGACCCCTGAGACATGGAAAGTTTCAGAAACTCCTATCTGGGGGCTCAGTTCCATACTGGACCACTCTCTGACCTGACTCCACTACCCCTCTCCCACTACACTGGAATTACACAGAATCTCAACTTTGAAACCAAGTTGATGTCAGCTTCTGAAGGGATGTTGTCCAAAGGAGCCTATCCAGATTCCCATCATGGTGCAGGTAACCCTTTCCCTCTGGGGGTGCTGATCCCAGCTTTCCTGTTAAGATGAGAAATGGGTGGAAGTGGAGGGAGAAGAGCCCTGGCAGGTATGCTGCTTTCCTAGGGCTCCAGTTCAAGTTTTCCATTCAAAATAGTGGCTAGGTAGGAAGACTGGGTTTCAGGTGGGAAGGATGAAGTTTTTCTTCATTCTATTGTTCAGAGGCCCAGGAGGTAATTGGAAGGGCCTCATATGCCAGGGATGCTTTTGCTAGCTGGAGAAGTGGTGGGGTGGGAGGGGGAGACTGAGGCCAACTTCTGGGAGTGGGTGAGATTTGCATGGCCAAAATAGGTCTCCTTACCTATCAGAGCATTCGCTGCCCTTGTCCTGGGATGGCCTCCACCTAGTTTCACCCACTAATAATGGGTATTGTTGATTTGCAGGAGAATAGCAGCTGTGAAGATGGAAGATGAGGAGTTGGGATGAGGATGATCCTGGTAGGCCTGTAGGTCTCTCTGGGCGACTCACCTTCTGAAGTGCAGATTGTTTTGTCAAATGTGAAGTTATTTGGAAAAGGAGTTTCCTTTCAAGGCAGCAGCAATATCATATTTCCATGTCTTTCTTTTTCTTTTGTTTTGAGTCAGTTCTCATTCTGTCACCCAGGTTGGAGTGCAGTGGAATGCTCACGCCCACTGAAGCCTCAACCTGCTGGGCTCAGGCGATCCTTCCACCTCAGCCCTCCAAGTAGCTGGAACTACAAGTGTGCCACTATGCCTGGCTATTTTATTACTATTATTATTTATTTTAGAGTTGAGGTCTTGCCAAGCAGCCCAAAGTGGTCTCCAACCCCTGGACTCAGGCAATCCTCTTGCCTTACCTCCCACAGTGCTGGTATTACAGGCATGAACCACAGGGCCTTATTTCCCTATTTTTCATAAGAAAGAAAGCAGATCTTAGTTTGATTAAAGAGTAGGAGAAAGGAAGGATTCAAGCACCAGAAAAGTTCACCTGCATTGTAGTTTCCAGAAGTCTCTCCTGCAGGGGGACATGGGATCCTAGGTCGGCCATGAGCCATGCCCAGACAGCCTGTGAAGGGATTTAGACAGTTTCAAAGTTGAAGCTGCTCCAATCCACAGGGTTGGTACTTCCTGTTGGTACTTTGTTCTGGACCAGGTCCATCCATCCCACTGGGCCCTCTTCACCTCACCTCCTCTCCTGCGTGGCACGGGGTCTGAGGCAGGACAGCTAGCATAGCTTAGATATAGATAGTGAGTTTCTTATAGGTGTCTTAGAAAATTAGGAAACCAGATGGTCAGGCATCTGGGCACTGATTTATCTGGACATAACGCTTTGAAACAACTACACAATGACTGAAACCCCAGGCCTGACCTTGGAATATGGGGCGGCTGGCTACAAAGACCCAAAACAGGAGGAGGGAGTTAGACAGGCATGGTGCTCAAAGAGAAAACTTAAACAGCAACTTTTCCTATTATCTCTTAAGTTCCTCGTGACACGGCAAACTTGGGAGTAAAACGATAAGAACTGAAGCTTGAGATCAAAGCTTACCTTAGACAAAGGTTGCAGCCGCCATTTGGGAAATACGAAGACTCTGATAACCGAAAGGGGCGTCCATTCCCTTGAGGGCACCCGCCTTCTCACCTGGACTTATCCTTCTTTTCCTTTTCTCTCTAATAAGTTGCACTTGAAACCTCTCTCTGCGACTCCCTCCGAAATTCCTTTGTGCTGGAGCCAAGGACGCACAGGACAAGCGCACATCAGGCCGGTGGCAGGAAAACCACAGGCTTTCGTGGTCCTGATGTCCTGACTTGGGACCAGAGTGGGGCGGCGCCGGCGGCACGTCCACCGGCTGCAGGGCGCGGTCAGGAGGTCGCAGCCCCGCTCCTGTCCGAGTTTCACTGACGCTGGGCTCCTCTCCCAGAGCCGGCGAGTGACCACTGGTGGCAACACTTACTGCCGGGAAGGGCGTGTCTCAGTCTCGCGCGGCGCGTCCGTTTTTCGTCTGGCCCGGCGCTTGCTGGGTCCTAGCGCCGCCGGATTCCTGACTGCGAGGGTCCTGGCTAGGCACCGCTCCGTACACTGGTCGCGGTTTCTCATCAGCACATTCGCTACAGTACATACCTAATGGTTTTCCGGTGGCGGCAGCGCTTCCTGAGCCCATCCCGATCTCTCCATGTGGTCTCTTTCTCCATCCTGGGACCTAGAGTGCCGGTGTCACGGGTGCACAGTACAGGGCGCTCCCGTCAGCTCTTTGTCTAGCTGTTCCAAGCCGGCAGCTTTCTGGTCTTAGCACTTAGTGCAGGAGTCTCCCGGTGGCACAACCTCTAGTTTCCCAAAGTCCATAGTTGTCAGTAACAGCACCGTGATTGTGACCAAATGGACTTTTGTCTTCAGTAACGCCGCTTGCTGCCGTCACACACAGGCCCCCCGCACTGCCATCTCGCCCTGCCGAGTTCTCTTGGTCGCGGCACATCTCTCCTTTGGGTGCCTGCATTTTCTCCATGGCAGCACCGCAAATGACACTGATCTGATGGGTTGTAAGCTGCAGTGTCCCTGGTTGCTGAATGTTTGCATATTTTCACATATTTCATCTGCATGATACAGGACAGCGTGCAGTAGTCAATCATTCTGATGTTTAGTCATGCAATCTTGGACTTGAAAAATAAAAATAAAAAGGGCAAATTACAGTTTAAATTTAATTCAGATTAGATTTTGCTTCAGTTTTGTTCTTATTCAAATTTACATTCCAAATGCAAATTCTGGAAAACATTTGGGGTTTTAAACTTGCTAAAAAGGAATTGGAGAACTGTGCTCCAAATTCTATCAGTTATAGTCAGCAAGACGGCTTACAGGAGGGACGTTCTTTCAGAGAATTCAAGGAATATATAATTAATCCTCTTCCTATACCATGAAGAGTTTTTTAATATGAATACTAGAAAAAGTGGGGGATGAAACTTTGGACAATCATTTATTTCTGATGCTTACTTGGTTTTATAGAATTCCTGGAAAATAAAAGCCAAAGGAAAACAAGTAAAGACTTTAAATAATTATTTTTAAAAATAGTAGGACAAAACTTTCTGCTGGGAAAGAGAGGGGACAATGCTTAAGGGCTCCCTACTGAGAAACGTTGTGTTGGGTGCTGAGAACAGCCCCCACCAAGAACTGTCATCAGACTGGAGCAGGGCCACCAGCGGGGCACAAGCAGTGCTGAGACTGAGGTGGAATCCCAGACTCCTGGGCGAACGCATATCAGGGGTGTGAAAAACACCCAATATGGGATCAAATTTCTAAAATGCAAATAGAAAACAACTCAAGAACTCATTGCTCCAGAGTAAAATGCACTGAAAGAAAATTTTAAATGAAAAACACACAGAGAAGGAACCACACAAGCGGAAAGTGGACACGCTGTGAATCCGCGCAGTCCCGCGGTTACAGTTGTCGTGTCCAGTCCAGTCCTGCTAATCCTCAGTGGGCCTCCTGCAACAAGACATCTCAGAAACTGATGAAACAGGACTTGCTACGCCCCAAATCTTGTTTTCTGACTTCTAAGACAGGTAAAATTCACAGGTGTAGGCAGCTAACGGGGGTGACACACTGCCCATTTGGAGAAGGTAGCAGGGCTGCCAGCCATGAACACCCAGCTGGACGCCACGTACAAGAAACCATAAGCTGGGCTCAACTGAAACTACGACCAAGAAAACGCCAACCCGGTGCACCTCCCTCAAAGCATTCTCAAAAGCTTGCACAGAGCGAATAGCCTTGCAGGCATCAGGAAAGAAACAGCTCTTTACAATGCACAAGCATAACAAGCACTAAAAGTAGGATTGGTTATTATGAAACCAAAAGTTACTGAAACTAAAACATAGCAGGCATGCCTTCCTGGTACTGGTCTAGATTAAATCTGGACTTGCAGGAACTAAGAAATAGCATCCACTGGTCCACTTATAATCGACTGTGTGGCTGAACTCCACTAGTTACTCTAAGAAAGCCCTGAACTGAGACTTGTTCAGAATAAGAAATCTCAAAAACAGGAGTGAGTGTTGAACCCGAGACTCTAATGAGAGAGATATAGAGACCACAAAGAGCCAGCTCGATGCAATCACACGAGGGTCTTTATTCAGGCTCGAGTCTGGGCTCACGCCCGAAGCAGCAGCTTCAGGGACCAGAGCCCCGATTCACAATGGCAAGCAGTTTTTATGCACAATTACAGAGGGAGGGGAAAGAACTCCAAACTTGATTTTACATGATTGGGTAATTTCTCCTAATGGGTACGGGAATACCTGGTATTGGTGGGTGCTGCCCGTGATTGACAGAAACCCACGTAATGGGTCGAGTGAAATGTTAGATAAGTTAGGTCCATACAATCTCGGTTTATGAAGTAACCTGGGCCGGCAGACAAAGGGTTACATTAGCCCTTTTAGTTTACCGATCCAGCCCAAGGCTTACTTAGGAAAGCTTGTTTGCTTAACTTTTGCATAGTCATTATGGGACAACAAAAGCCAAACTTAACAAAGTTTTAAATATGAATGCTGCAAACACATACAGTGAATGTGGCGTAGAAAATCATATACTAATTCTGGGAATTTATAATAGCAAGCTTATAATAGCAAGGCAGTTACTTTTATAAAAGTCTTTGTTCCCTGCAGGTTTACATAGCCACTGCTGTAAATTATCACTGAGATATAAACCGGTGATAAAGCCCACCTAGAGAGGAGGTGGCTCCTCTAAGTCTGGTGCCACCTTGTAGGAATGTTTGAAAGAGGCTTATCGCTTTATCCTTTACATCCGTTGTAAAAGCATAAGTTAGCCTACTGGTTTGGGTTTGACAATGCTTAACCCGAGGATTCTAAATACAAACACTGCTTAAAACCCGACATATGCCTAATTCTACGGGGTCTGAGGTAGGATTCAAAGTACTAAGATTTCATAAAATACATGAGGTAGTCATAAAATACATGAGGTAGGAATACACAAAATATATAGTAAACATGAGGTGGGGATATATGAAATATAGTGAACTAAACGCTACTTTTACAGCAAATAAGTTTCTTGGTTTCTTGGGTCTCTCAATAGCATGCTCTTAGCCTAAATCTATTGTTGTCCTCTCAGTGAGAAGTGTCAGCAGGAATAAATCGCGTGTTCCACTTACATTATCTTGGTAGGGCAGAGAAATCACAATCAAGGCTGTATTCCAGCATATAGGAGGCTTACAAATTCCAACAAGGCAGACAAGGCTAACCAGGACTTACAAAACTTGCTAAACCCAGCTGATCACGATGAAGTAAGTGGTGGGACTCCTATAAACCATGCTACACTGTGCATTCAAAGACAGGGGTGGGGGGTGGGAAGAACTGCTAGCCATGCTGCCCATCAGCAAGAAGTCTTAGCAACTGGCAATCTGTGCAGTTGTATCAACATAGGTAATAGTGCAATTCTTCCATGAGAAAAACAGAGACTTGAAAACTTGACAGTCTTAAGACTGAACTTAAAATTCTTGAGTTTAAAACACAATGAAATGCTATACTTAAATATCAAAGGCAGGCCAGGCAGTGGTTCAAGTCTGTAATCCCAGCACTTTGGGAGCCTGAGGCAAGATGATTGCCTGAGCCTGATTGTTCCAGACCAGCCTGGAAACTTGGGGAGACCTCCTCTCTACAGTGAAAACAAAACAAAACAAAACAAACAAACAAAAAACTAGCTGGGTGTGGTAGCACACACCTGTAGTTTCAGTTACTTGCAAGGCTGAGAAGGAAGGATTGCCTGAGCCCAGCAGGTCAACGCTGGGGTGGCAGTGAGCATGCCATTGCACTCCATCCAGTCTGGGCAAAGGAGTGAGACTCCAACTCTAAAAACAAAACAAAACAAAAAACAAAGGCAAATGTAAACATGAAAATAAAGTTAGCTAAATTTAAAATTTAAAAACGTTATAAAAACACAAACGATGTGAAATAAAATTAATTATAAAAGCACCATATATGAATCAAAACACGGTAACAGGATGCTAAAGGGTAGGGAAAGCAACAGTTTGAAAAAATAATATGACAAAATTAAGATACACATTTGAAAAATTAGCCGGGCTCGATGGCTCAGCCTGTAATCCCGCTCCTTTGGGAGACTGAGGTGAGTGGATTGCCTGAGCTCGCGGGTTCGAGACCTGCCTGGGAAGCGAGACCTTATCTCTACAATAAATTAAAAAATCAGCCGGGCGTGGTAGTGCATGCCTGTAATTCCGGCTACTCGGAAGGGAGGTGGAAGGATCGCCAGAGCCCAGCAGGCGAGGCTGTGGTGGCCGGGAGCGGCCACTGCACTCCCG